AGAGGGGGACAGGGACAAACATGTATCAGGAGATCTTAAAATCTATGAAGAAATATTAAAAGGTTAATAGTGATGAGAGGGTGGGGGAAGGCATTCTTTCTGTACATGATGATAAATGAAAGCCTTGCTAAGAGGGCAATACATGATATGGGAGTGCTCCACGCACAAACAGCATGGATGCAGGCAAACACCTAAGTGCAAAGGCCCTGAGAATGCAACTGATCAATGGCCTGCAGTTCCTAACCTAGTTTAAATCAAGCTGTTGATTCATCGGGCATGCTTACTATATACAAATTTCTAATCAGCAGCAGCTGTAGAAAGGTAAATGATGACTACTAATGATGAGGATAAGACATAAAACTAAGTGCATTCTAACTTCATGCTAGGCACTGTTTCACATGCTTTATTTACATCAGTTATTCTCAATCAGGTGATTTTGTCACTCCTCAAGACTTATGACCATCTAAGACAGTTTTGGTCATCACAACTGGCATCTAGTGAATATACTACAATACAATAGGAAAACCCCACAATAAAGAATTATGTGTCAAGGTTAAGAAACCCTACATTTAATTTACTAATTTAATCCTTGCAAAAATGCTCTATTACAATCCTAATCATACAACATAAGAAACTTGAAACTGAGATCAGAAAAATTAAATTACTTGCTATATGTGGCAGAAGTGAAATTTGAACCCACAAAATTTCATTCACATCAATGCACTTACCACTACTTTGTATTATCTTTTCATAAAGTTAAATTTATTGAATGTGTGTTATGTGCCACCATGCTAAAACTTAAATGCACCTCATCTTTAAAACCACACAATTAAAGAGGTACTATTAGTATTCTCAGTTTACAAAGGGCTAAACCTTAGTAAAGTTACGCCCCCTATCACAGAATGACAGAGCTAACTGTGTCAGCTAAATGACAGAACTGACAATCGTCAGTTCTTAACCACTATAGTATAAGAACATTAAGAAAGAATAATAGATTATCCTTCCAGGATAGAGTCAAGGAATTCACTAAATGGTCAACACATTGCCTTATCCCACAAGTCTACAAAATATATTCTACAAAGCAATGCAATCTAGTCATCTGCTCTATACATATCTCTCAAATTCTGGTTCAGTTTCATTGATTAGACTCTATTAGCAAGACTTCATAGGAATTTGTTTTCTGAATTTAGCAGATAAAAGAGACTATAGACGGATTCCAAAGTATCTCTGTATGAACACCAAAACAGAAGTATAAAACCTATCAAGTGCAAGTTGAAATTTCAAAAGCAGAATTACACTAACCCAGTAGTAGGAGATTACTTCAAAGTTTACAACTATATCCTACTGACATTATGGGGAGCATCATCAGTTTAGGGAAGAGTGGAAGTAACTCCCCATTAAAACCATGGCCTATATAATAACAGTCCACATTAAAACGTACTTAACACTGTAGTATGTGCCAGACTCCACGCTAAGTATATCATATACATTAAATCATTAGTTCCTCACAACAACCCTGTGAGGTAGGTGCCATTAATATTTCTATCTTAGAGATAAGCAAAGTAAGGTCTAGACCATTACGTAATTTGCCCCAGGCCACATACCCAGTAGACCCAAACTGGGATCCAGGCAGTGATTCCTGAATCTATACTTTCAAGCTACCATATTTCATGTACTCTACCTGAACAACTTATTAATGTTTATGTTATCAACATATCATGAATGAAGTCTCTTAAAAAACTACCGGCAATAAAATGAGGTACCCTTCTAAAATAAATTAGGAAATGTGCACTTAGCCATCCCCTACAGACTAAAAACTAAATCACTATTCTCAATGTCTATAATCATCAGTTAGGAAGTTTTCAACTATACAGTTTGAGACTTATTTTCAGTGTACAATTTTGGAATGTTTTTGTGTGCTCAGCTCACACAAATTATGAATGAATTACAAAAAAATTGTGTGGCTTTTCCTTATATTCTACTGTGCCATTCAAAACTTTACTAAAGTTAGATTGTGCCATCAGATTAAAACTTCTAAATGATACTTTTTTTAAAGATTTATTTTATTTATTTATGCATTCAAAAAGTTGGGTCTAGGTCAAACTAGGCCATTTGGGGGCTGGGGGGGGGGGGGTTGAGAGGATTCACCAGAGACAGAACAGGCTGATCTACTGAAATACACTGCTGAGTAGCAGCAGGTGAGACAAAAGAGGTCTGCTGTGCCATGTGGGTCAGCTCTCTGGCCGGGGGATGGAACTCATGACGAAGTGGCAATAGCTTGATAGCACTCAGACATAAGCCCTGTGCCACCCCAGAGGCCTATGAGTGGTATTTTGAAAGTTCTACTTAACTACCTCTTCACCTCCTCTCCATTATACAAATGATCCTAAAATTTTAAACCCCCTTTCCCCTTTCTCAGTGATATCCCATAAAAGAAAAATAAATAAATTTCCTGACCACTAAAAAATTATTTAAATTAAATACACAATGCATGGCAATAATCATACATTTGGCAAGTCCTCATACAATGCCACATTACTCTTGAAATATCCTCTTTTTTCAACTCTTAATACACTGATCTAAAATCTCCTGTTTTTGAATGTTGTTTCTCAATTTAGATTATGTTCCTTGTGTATTAAGTTCCTACATCTGAAATAGCTAGTATCAAATACTCTCAGTATCTTTCGCTGTGTAATCAAAGGCAACAATTAAAGAATGTATTTACTGTTCTCAAAAATGCAACAGTATCATAATTGTGCAATAACTTGCTAAGTTATTTTTGCAGTTAAAAAATAGAAACCCATGTTTCTTAAAAAATACTCAAGGATTCTTAAAAGATACTAAGTAGAAATAAGAGCCCAAGATGTACTGTTCCAGAAGAAAAAGAAAAACAGCACCACTTGTTAAAGAATTCCTGAAATATTTGGATGAATAAAAATATTTAGAAATCAACACATGATGAACCCTGAACTCCCTGATACTACATAGTTAACTGATTATAGGTAACCCACAAGCTGAGATGCCACACAGTAAACCTCATTATCTCATTAAATACAGATCTTACCTCCAGCCAAAACTAATTTCATGAAAAATCTGTTTAAAAAAAAAACAGTGCACACTTAAGAAAGCAAAATGTGTAGTATAAATGTTGATTTTCAACAATGCACATCTGAAACTTGTATGTGAAAAAGCAATGTTACTTCAATTTTAAAAAACAAAGCAAAATCTATGAAAAAGGTAAATATCATATTACCACATCAAGGAAGATAACCACAATATATCTTCATTTAGTAGCCAAAAAAGAACTATATACTTAATTTACCTTCACCTGTTTCCCCAAATATAATGCATATGTAAAAACCTAATTTAAGATCATTTTGTAGTAATCCAAATTGTCACTTTCTGCCTTCCAATTTATAACAATAGTTTTATTAATAATCACATAATCCAAGATTATCAACCTCTCCTAGCTGATTCCAAAACCCACTGCAATATATAGCTTAACAGCATGATTTAAAATGATTAATTTGAAGACAATTTCCATTTTTCTATCACGAAATTTGCGTTTTGCCAAAGCGATTTTTCACCCAGATTTACACAGACCATTTTTCATAGATTTGACGAAACATACACAATACAGGAGTCTACCCTATGATCAATCTGACAAAGGTATCTGAGGTCTATCCAAGAGCATGAAATGCTTAAGTTAGTATAACAGATAAGGAAGCTCACTAACCTCCCAAAGGATAAAATAAATTAATTTTTATGTTTTTCAATAAATGGACCTACAAAGCATAAAGGAACAGGGGGAAACTATTCCCATCACCAAATCATTTGTTATCCTTTAAACAAATTACCAATGCAAATATCAAGTGAGATTTAAAATCTAAGTCTGTAATTCTACATACTTAAAAACGAGTCCACTTCAGCTGAGTTTAAGTGTTTTGCTACTAAGACGTAAATGAATAACTGAACATGTATGGCTTAATCAGTGCAATAATAACTCCTAAATGCACACACACCCCCAATAAAATATTATGATGGGGGAAAATAAGTATTTTTTTTAAAGTAATAGTAATTATGATGGAGAAAAAATTCACTGTATATATAGCCAGTAAACGGAAGAATTGGGGAAGAAAAAATAAATTTGAAGGTTAAAAGTTACTGTTTGAAATAATACTGTCTACACAACACCTTCTGTGCTCTGGAACCAAAGCATAAATTCAAAGTCAGATGAAAGCGGCAAAGATTTCCTAAAATGACTCACATATCATTCCTACCACAATAGACACATTTCCTACTAACATTTTCACAATCCCAAACACTTCATTCAAGGATTCAAAAAAATGGTACGAAATGAATGAGAAATGGAGGCACAATTTTGGAAGATCTCAAACAACCAATTAGATAAAAAGACAAGTTCGACTCCAAAACATTAAGTAGAACAATGAACTCCCTAAGTATTGCTAGTTTACCTTTTTTTAACTTAAAATAAGAAGATAAAGTTCGTATTTGGGGAATGATCAATGACTGATGTTTCATTTTGAACTGGCTACCTGTACACGTAATGAAGATTAGGTCTAAGCAGATCTTAAAGCGCTTTTGCCATTTACATTAATGACAAACCATGGTCATATTGTGCGAATCATTCGTGAGCAGCACAAATCATCACACTCTAATTACCTCGAAGAGTCTCCAAGAAAGGCATTTTTCCGAATAGAAAAAAAAGGTCCTCGGGCCCAGCAATACCCTGCTGGGGGAGAGCGGGACCACTGGACAGTGCACCGAGCCAACACACTCTCCCTTTCTCTCCTCCCCGGCTCCCCCCCGGTGTCAGGTGACCAGTTATTTAGCACCATTAACACGCACGGATCGACAAGTGGTTCATTAAATTACACGAATTATCACCAGGTAAGAGTCTAGGCTTCTCATTTCAAAGTCAGCAAAAGCAGTCGACAGTTTGGGTCCCGAGCACAAAGCGCGCAGTAGCGGATGGAGGGATGGAGCGCCAATTCCACTCTTCAAGAGCCGGGACCGGGCTCGGCCTGGCCATGAAAGCCCGTCCCAGCTGCCCGGACCCAAGGCCTAAAGCTTGCAGCCGGGGATCCCGGGGAGGGAAAGGCCGGGCCGGCCGGGTCGGTGGGCCTGCGGGCCGGGCCTTTCAGGCAGCGATCGCCGCGCCTCCCGGCCTGCGCGCCCGCGCGCCGGCGGCGCACACTCCCCCCCCACCCCCTCCCGAGGACCCCGCGGCTGGGGCGGGGAGAGGCCGAAGTCCCGGCCCTCCGCCCGGTTACCTCGCCGGCGAGGCTCCCTCCCCAGCCCGCGGTCCGCACGGCGGGGCGGGAGAGGCACGGCCCGGGCAGGCCGAGGACGCTGCGCAAGAGGCCGGAGAGCTTTCCCCGCCGCGCGGGAGAAAGGCGCGGCGTGTCCGCCGCGGGAGGGGCGGGGAGGCCCGCGGAGGCGCCGTGCGTGTGGAAGGGGTTGGGGGAGGGGAGGATTGCCCGTCTCCCTGGCCGCGGCCGAAGCCGCCACTCACCCAGCTCCGCCAGACGAGCGCTACCACTGGCAGCAAGAGGAAGATGGTGGCCGCTGCCGCCGCCGCCGAGCGGGAGGAGGAGGGGGCCCGGTGGGTGCCGCGGAGAGGGGGTACGCGCAGGACGTCGGCGTCGCTGCCACGGCCGCTTTCCCTCACGGGGCCGAGCGGCGGCTGCTGACGACACCGTCTCGGCTTCCGCGACGCCCTGCTTCTCCTCGTTGCAGCCGCCGCCACCCAGGGCCCGAGGGTCGCTCGCCTCGTGGGGACCGTGCGGCGACGCGAGACCCCGCAGCCATCGGCGTGCAGCGGCTGCGCGGGGGCAGGAGCGGGGCCGCGTCACGTGATCTCACTGTTTACCGTTCCCGAGGCCGTGGCCTGCGCCGCCGCCGTCGCCGCGCCTGCGCGCTGCGTGCCCTTCCGCGCCGCGCCTCCATGGGGCCTGGGACCTCGCGCTCCGCCGCGCTTCCGCGCCCCTCCCTGCCTGGTGAGGACGCGGCGCCGCCCGCGGGCCTCCAGCCTTCGCCTCGGGGGCGGCCTGGAAGAGTGAGGCCGTGAATGGGCTCATCTTCTCGATCGTATAAGCACTAGGACTTCGTAATTAATACTCTATTGATGGACAGTCTGCACCCCACACCCCGGGTGGTTTTCATGAACTGGTGGTTCGTGGTATAGGGTGGAGTAGATAAGCCCCTTGCCCAAGCATCCCTGCTCTGGATCTGCACAATAACTGCATGTTTCACCACGTCCACCTTTACTTTGCCCCTCGAGAACTGATTTTCTTCAGGACTCAAGTTGCCAGGAGATATTCCTGGCCTAAGTCACCATTTCGCAAAGTGTGGCCAGATCAGCTGAGGGGTCCTCCTGACCTTTTAGAGGAGCTTTGTTTGGCATACATAATGTATAAAACCAATTTTTCTTCATCTTCAATCAAAGCTACTTGTAGCAGCCGACTAAATTTGGAAGCAGGTGTGACAGTGCAACTGTCTTCCATTAAATCGGATATGGAAGAAATTTGCAAAATTTCAAGTAACAGCCACTCTTTCCATCAAATTTCTTGGAAATGTATTTTTCATAATACATGTGTTATTTATAACAACAACGGGTTTGGGCTTTTTTAATGTTTTGATTTTTCTCAGGTATAATTACTAAGACAGGAAATATCAAAAGATGGAAACTAACCCATGCAAACAAAACCTTTTTGAAGTCCCTCACTGAGAGTGTGTGTGTGTGTGCATGCACGCGCTTGCACGTGTCCTGAGACCAAAATATGTGAAAACGCTGGTCTAGGTTATGTGCTTCTACAGCAGCGAAGGCTGACCCTTATCTCTGCCCTTAATAAGCACTGTGAGGTAATTGGTGCTAGCCATCACCCTGACCAAAATGAGCCCTTGAAAGACAGGAATTGTATCTTAAATCTGCAGAGACCATTACAGCACCTACTAAAGAATGATAGCCAGCACCTGCTGTGCTCTTCTAAAACCATTACTTGTAGATTTAAGCCTCACACCAACCACAGGCCACATTGTAAGATTTGTGCAATGTAGAATAATAGCTCACAGGCCTGTGGTGAAGCTCTATTCTTTACTGTCTCCAGTCTTCTGGTAATTCAAGCACTCCCAATGACAAGAGCTCTTCTGCAAAGGTTACACTGTCCTAATTCTACCGGAATCCTAGAATTCCATCTCCTGCCTTGATTCATCAATTCCTCAAAACTTCATTTTACAATTTTTGATGGGGTTCTTTTGAGAAAGACAAATAGAAATGAGTAATCAAAGATTTTTTTTCACTTGGAATACCTGGGATGAATTGCACAAATAAATATAGTATCAAATTATCCTTACTCTTGTTCTGGAACTCAATATGAAATTTCAAATAGGCATTAGGAAACAAGATTTTTGGTATAAGCAAAATTTAACTCTGAAGGAATTCATTAGAGTAGAGCTCACTGTAGAAATTGACTGGACAGAAAATTCCCTTAGAAGAATTGGGGACATTTTATCTTAGAGAAATTTTCATAAATTTATGAAAACACAAAATAGAAGTATAAGAAAATACAGGATCCATAAGCCTGTTACATTTACAAAACAAAGATTTCTAATCCTATAAAACCCTACAAGCTTGCCATGAAGCATGATGCTTTGATTCTATTAACTTGAATCAGCCAAGCACCCAGATTTACCTTTATCCACTAATAATCTTTGCTTTTTACTTCCAGACTGTAGGGTAAATGGTTTTCAGGCTTTTCTGACCCCCCCCCCCCCACCATTAGGATTGCCCTGCCTGATGGGGCACCTGACATCGTTACATTGTTGTCTTGTTTACTTCTATGGGCCATGGGAGGAGTATTGAGATAGTCAGGAAGAGAAGCAGAAGCAGGAGAGAGGCAGGAGCGAGAAGGGGAGAAAAGAAGCCAGAGAAGTCCAGCGTGAAGTCTTGCCTGGGGCCTGAAGGCCTTCTGGCCTCCTGGCCCGCTCTCCCACCCCCACCCCCACCCCTGCGTGCCATGTACCTGGTTTCTTCCTCCCTACCACATCTGTGCCCTTCCTGCCCCTACACAGACATGAACACGAACTCTCTTTTACCCAATCCAAGCAAGGTTACTAGAAGAAGGAACGTGCATAATTATATTGGGAATGTGATTAAACTGCTAGTAGGGAAATTAGACCCTATTAGTAACATTAAAAACTGCAAATTAACTTAGGAAAATTAAATTTGATAGAATGCAAAGCAAGGCAACTAACATGACTAAAATTGACAATATTTGTAATTGACTTAAAAATATATGAAAGGATGAAAACTGACAAAATTTGGATTTTGCAAACTTTGCCAAGGAAATTTGAGCATGACAGCGAATGAGGCCATGGAAGACAGCTCATGATGCAGAGGTAAAAGTTAATTTTGATATGAAAAATACTTGTCATCACTGTAATATTGGTCCCTACAATATAAGTTCACTAGAGTAAACATTAAAATAAGTTGAAAAATTAACTTCACTGAATAGGAAACCAATAAAAGTATTAAATTTATTTAATGGGTTTTTCTGGAAAACACTTTCTGTTTACCCAGACACACTTTCATGCTAGTTTAAAATAACTATAAATTTATTCTTAACATGAGATCAAACAGTGGGATCAAAATTTTCCTAAACTCATTTTATCAAGATCATCTTGGAACTTAGAGGCTTAATCCAGAACACTTTGTTCCTCAGGTCAGACTTGGTCCCTTCCCACACATTTCTTTACCTACTTTCTCCAAAAAAGATGATTTCCAGTCATTCAGGCTTTTAGAAAAAAACAATGGGTAAAAAAAGAAGTGCACGCTCCATCCCAGGGTAAATAATTTGCCCAGCATACCAAAGTTCAGGGTAGCTTAGAAAGGCTAGCTTGTCCGTGCACCCAGTTTGGCATAGCATAAAAGCACCTTTGCAGACTTCAGCAACTCCAAGGTACAATGAAGGAGCAAAGTGTGACCTGAGACCAATATTCTAACCAGTTCTCTCATTAACTAAATTGTATGCTCTAACTTCTTTTAATCCTCTTCATTATTCTCCATACCAATTTACAACTACATTTTTTCCTAGGAAAAAATGGAAAGACTCCAGTGGGTTTTAGAGGTAAAGGTATTGTTCCTGGCCTCAAGGAAATCAAAAGAGTAAGAAAGGTGGGCTAATGGACAATTACAATGCAACCTGGTAAATGCTCTGACGGCAGCTGCCGCATAAGACATGTATTTATGCTTTACCAGGGCTGCAGTGGACAGGGGCAGAGGGTATGCCTCAATATCAAGAAAGTTCCAGATGATTTGGTGTGTTTTACGAATTGCAAATGATTCATTATTTGGTTGGGCATATTCTAGCCATAAAAATAACTGAAATCAAAAGTGATTATGAGGCCTCCCTTGTGGCTCAGGGGTTAGTCTCAGCACTATCAAGCTATCACCAGCCACTGTAGCATGAGTTTGATCCCTGGCCAGGGAGCTAACCCACATGGCACAGCAGACCTCTCCTGTCTTGCCTGCTGCCCCTCTAAGCAGTGTATTTCAGTAGATCAGTCTGTTTTGCTCCCAAATCTGTCTCTGGTGAATCTTTTCACCCCCACACTGTGGCCTACAGCCCAGTTCTAGTATGCATAAGTAAATACAAAATAAAATCTTTTTAAAAATAAAAATGACTGTGATGTCATTTGCCTATTTGGCATCCTTCCTTGGTTCTTCAAAGTAAAAGAATAAAAATTTCTTAATATGGTCATCAAGAACCTTTGGAATTGGTCTTTCATCAACTCTTCAGCCTCTTCTCTCCATAGTCTCTGCTTTTATAATTATAATACAGCAGCATCTAATTTCTTACTGTTTTCTACACACATATATACTGTCTTTCAACCTTAAGTCTTCTCTCAGGAATGCTATGGTCCCAACTGACCCTAAAGCACCACCACCATCCCACCTACCACTGTATCTTAGAGGTAATGACTGAGGGTATAGAATTTCTTTCAAAGTGAAAAAAAAATGTTCTAAAATTGACTGCCACGATGGTTAACTGAATCTACAATTGAATTGTACACTTATTTTTTTAAAGATTTATTTAATTAGATTTGCATACAAGATTTGCATACAAGAGCTGGGGTACAGGCCAGAGCTGGGGTACAGGCCAGAGGTGTGAGAGGATTCACCAGACAGAGCGGGGAACAGAATAGGCAGATTGACTGAAATACACTGCTAAGGGGAGCAGAGGGTGAGACAGGAGAGGTCTGCTGCGCCATGAGGGTTGCTCCCTGGCAGGCCAGGGATTGAACTCGCACTGTAGAGGCTGCGGAGAGCTTCATAGAATGCGTCTTAACCCCTTACACCACAAGGGAGGCCCCAAAGTGTACACTTTAAATGGGTGAATCATATGGTATGTAAATGTTCTCAATAAAATTTATTTTTAAAGGAAATTTGAATAAATGAAAATATATATTACACTCTATGAAGGGAAAAAAAAACAGAATGAACATGTCAATTCTCCCTAAAATAATGCATCTTTAATTTGGCAAGTGAACTTTAGAGTTAATCTAGGAGAATAAAAGAGTTACTAGAGTTATCAAAACTTTTTTGATTATGTGCTGAAGTAGGTGAACTGTTTAATCCAAGTATAAGAATATATATATATGGATATATATTAATCATAATCAATACAGCATGAGATTGTCTGGGAAATATAGGACCAATTAACAGAATAAGAAGTCAAGGAACAGTGGAAAAGGGAGATTTTTAGCTTACTGGTTATATAGTTTTTGTTTGGATTATGAAAATTTTTTGGAAACAGTACAAGTTTATCAATGTATTAATGCTATTGAATTATATGCTCAAAATGGTGAAAATGGCAATTTTTATATTATATACATTTGCCCACAATTTGACAAGAAACAATAATATAATTATGCCCCAAACTATTAAATTGGACACGTAATTTCTTTATTTTTGTTTTTTCTTTATTGAGATAACATTGGTTCACAACATGTGTATGAATTAGAGAAATAAATTCGTACCTCTTCATATATATATTACTCTACCACTTC